TAAATATTTATTATTTATTAATAATCAATAACTAATAGTTAAATAGCCAATAATTTATTCAAACTAATCATCAGTGTTCTTTTTGTATGTCCTTTTTATCAGTCACTGGAAAGATGGAATGATTTTTTTCCTTTGCTCCCCTGTTAATGATTCTGATACTTCTAATATAATGGCATTATTATTGTTAAATATTTTCAGAAGGAAACAACTTATTGAAAAATATTACTGGTTTTGATGAAATGTCCTTTGCCTTCAAAGGCAAAACACATGATATTGTTGTATTGTTTTGTTTTATATTCTTCCAGCAAGGTAAGGCTTCATTACAATGTGTATTTAAAAAGGCATATTTATCTTACGCTGCACATAATTTTTATATTGCCATTTCTTCATATTCCCTTGTTATATTACCTTCTGTTGTCTTTCTAACCAAAGAGGCAGATACTGCTGTCCTATGAATTGTCAGTGGACTCTATTGATGATCCTTTTCGAAGACAGAGGTTAATGAGTGCAGCCACTATTATTACAGATAATTTGCGTAAGTCATTCTTTAGTGTTTTTCCTATGGTGGTTGTGTAACTTGACCTAAGAGATCAAAATGTCAGAAACATTATTTTAGAAGTCACTGAGGGAAATTATGTTGTAATCAAATGTAAATTCCAGTAAAATAAATATTCTCATATCTCACATAACTGCAACTGTAACTTACAATTACCGAGGGTAAATCGTGCCTGACCAACTTGATTACCCTGTACAATAAAATGTCTGGGGTTTGTGGATGAGGGGAGAGCAATGTTTTCATTTACCTTGACTCTAGCAAGGCTTTCAACACTGTCTCCCACAGTATTTTTTCATCCAAGTTAGGGTGTTAGGGTCTCCACGGGTGGACAACCAGCTGGACAAAAAAATGGTTGGATGTTTGGGCTTCAAGTGTCTGGTGAACAGGTCATATTCTACCTGGAGGCAGGTAACAAGTGGAGTACCACAGTGTGTATCCTAGGACACGTCTTGTCCTAAGTGACCTGGAGGAGGCAACAGAGGGCTTGCTCTTAAATTTTGTAGATGACACCAGATTGGGGGTGAATCACTTGATACGCTGGAGATAAGGGCTGCCGTCTAGAGGAACTTAGACAGGCTGGAGGAATGGGCCAATAGGAACCTTATGAAAATTCAGCCAGAAAATATGTAAACTTCTGCATATCTGCAAGAACCTCTTGCAACAATACAGGCTGGGAGGTGGCTGGCTGGGAAGCAGCTCTGCAGGAAAGGCCCTGTGGGTCCTTGTGGGCAGTGAGCTGAGCTTGAGCCAGCAACATGCCCGTGCAGCAGCAATGGCTAACAGTATCCTGGACTATATTAAAAGGAGCATAGCCAGGAGAAAAGTGATTATCACCCTTTATTAAGCACTTGCTAGACCACATATTATGCCCAGTTTGCCCCCCAACCCCCCAGTACAAGAAATACATTGAGTTCGGTAGAGGGCCACCAAGTCAGGGGCTGGAGCGCTTGCCCAGTGCTGGGCTGGTTCAGCCTGGAGAGAAGGTTTTGAGGAGAAGTTAATATTAGCCTTCCAGTGTCTACAAAGACATTATCAAGAACATGGAACCAGGCTCTTCACAGTGGTGCACAGTGGGAAGATGAGACAACAGACATAAATTGAAAGATGAGAGCTTAAAACTGTGTGTAAGGAGAAGCTTTCACCATGAGGACAGTCAGGCAGAGGAACGGGTTATGTGGTCTCTGATCTCATGGCTGACCCTGCTTTGAGAAGGGGGTTGCACTAGAGATCTCCCGAGGTCCCTTCCAACTTGATTTACCTTATAGCCCTATCCTCAACTATGGACACACAAGATATGGGGGACGCCCTTCTTCATTTTATCCTGGACCTTTTTTCAACCCGTGCTGCATCTGTGACTGCAGAGATGCAACTCACAGAAAACGAGTTGTCAGTTTTCCCAGAGAGTTATTTCTCCTTAATGCAGATCCTTTATCATCCTTCAATAATATAATAAACAGATGAAGAGGTGGGTAATATCACCTGTTTCTGTAAATAGGAGATTTGTTGATGGTGACCTTTAAATAGCTTGTGATTAGTTTGTGTAGAATGAGTGAAACAATTTTTTTCAATTATGCCATTCTGCTCACATGAGATTGATTTTTCTTTTCAATCTTTTCTATGACTGATTGTCTTTTTCTTCATACTATGAAATTCCACATAAGATTATTCATATGTCACTTTCCCTCTTTGTCATTTAGAACTGCAAGAGTCAAAACTGAAATGTCCTTCATTATGGAAACATTTTGCTCAAAAGTATCTAATTTGGAATTGTTGTCCATTCTGGAGAGTAGTCAAAGAGAAGGTGAAACTGGTAATTTTGGATCCATTTGTTGATCTCTTAATCATGGTTTGCATTATCATGAATACCTTATTCATGGCTCTGGAGTACCCTCGCATGCCAGACAATTACCAACAAATGATTTTTATAAGTGACAAGGTAAGTTAGAGTGAATGTGGAGTTGTAACCCCATATTGATACTGTGACAGTCCCATAAGGAGACATACTTTTCAGTGACTTTTTGCTGAATTTCTCTTTCCTCTTTCCAGGTCTTCACCCTGATTTTTACAGCAGAAATGATCTTGAAAATCATCGCTCTAGATCCTTACAACTATTTTCAGCAAAAATGGAATATTTTTGATAGCATAGTTGTCATGATTGGCCTAATAAGCTTTAAAGAAAATCTGCCATCTCTCAGGCTGGTAATTATTTCTTTATTCTTTTTTAAAAGTATATATGTTGTACAGATTTGTAAAAAATTACAGTAAAATACCCTCAAATTATTTTCCTGATGAATCTGTTAAATCAGTTCTCTTTGTTAGTACCTAGTAAGCCAACATGAATGTTTAATTAGAGTGAATACTAAATGAATATTAAAGAATACATTCAATATGTTTATTATACTGTGTATATTGGATACTACAAACCCTCTGGCACAGTGTGCCCCCTTGGAGATTTGACCTAGCAGAGAGTTCACTGGTTGCCTGTTAGGTCTGTACAGTGGCACTGCTCAACTACATTTCAGATCTTCAATTAGGAAAAGATTATCCGAGAGTTTTCATGAGCTTAAGGATAGAAAATGTTCCTTCACAGCTTTTCCTTTTGAGTTGAGATTCGTAAAATAATGTAGCTTTCCTCAAGGGTTAGACTTGGCTTTCAGGTCTCTTCAAGGCTTTTCCTCCATCTTAGGGAAAAGGAGGAGTAGCTCTGAGATGTCTATGTATAATATAACTTTTTTGCTTACGTCTTTACTGTGTGTTTAGAATGCTAAATTTACTAATTACTTCTAAAATTCTTCATAGTCATCAGAGTCATCGCACCTAGAAATTCAGTTGAATTCTGTTTCATCTTGTGTATCATGACTGAGAGATTTTAACAGCCCTGAAAGCTAATTTGACTAAAAATGTCCTTTTTACTCATGAAGGTGCATAGAATAGATCCCATCTGGCTTTTCAAATCCTATTTTAAGTCTGTTGGGTGAGAGGTAGAAAAAATTCTTTTTTCAATTTTTGTCTGATTACATTTGATTTAGTCCAAAATGCAGTCATTTCACAAGCCTCGTCCAAGTACCTATAAGCCACTTGATTATTACCATAGAATCATAGAATCATTAAGGTTGGAAAAGACCTCTAAGATCATTGAGTCCAACTGTCATTATTACAGTTATTGCTATTAATACTAATAGACTTATACATGCTCGTATCTAACTTAGCACAAACAATTTGAAAGCTTCCTTTGGCAGTTCTCTGTTCTCAGTAGCATTAACCATCTGAGCTTAAGCACAGGACTTTTGGATCAGAACAATTAAAAACCTTTCTTTGGGGGAAAAATTATGATGGTGTTACTGAAGTAAAGACAGCATGATAAATGCAGGGTCTCGTTTTTATGTGTGCTGTGCTATCTATGCAGTGTTCGCCACTCACATTGTTTTCTTGTGTTTTACTTACAGCTCAGGATCTTCAAATTGGCAAAGTCCTGGCCAGCCTTAAATACTCTTATGAAAATAATTCTAAACTCAGTTGGTGCTCTGGGTAATCTCACTCTGGTTTTGATTATCACTGTATTTATTTTTGCTGTAGTAGGAAAGCAGGTTTTGGGCAGTTATTATGAGAATTATTATTATAGAATAAACACCGATGAGAATTTACGCTGGCATATGAAGGATTTTTATCATTCATTCCTGATTATATTCCGAATATTATGTGGAGAATGGATTGAAACCATGTGGGAATGTATGGAAGTGGCTGGAGAAGGGCTATGTCTTCCCATTTTCTTGCTAGTCCTGGTGGTAGGAAACCTGGTGGTGAGTTTCAAGCTATTTTTCAGTCCCTACTGAATGCATCCAGTTACACCGGCATCTGTTTTTCTGAGGCAACCTTTATCATTTGAAAAGTACTCACACTATTCTCTTTTCTGGATGTTACTTAATATATGTTTTCTTCTGTCTTTTTTTCCTTTTCCCTTGTCTTTCTCTTTCTCACACCAGAGGTAGCTGCTAAGCAAAATGCACAAAATTATTCCTTCTACCCAGAGTATAGAAGTGCAGTGCTTTTGATAATTTGGTCTCCGATTTCTTCATCTTTTGTGTTGCTAGGATCAAATAACCAAACTGTCCAGTGCTTTTAATGCTTACCAACTTGTCCTTATATTACCAAAAGTTTACAGTACCCAGATTTTCTGATTTGTGTGACATATAGTAGATGTATATATACTGGAAAACAAAATCTTTTTCATCTGCTTGGTTAGTTGGTCTATACCAACTCCTTTTTGATGGTGGTGTTATTAAAATTTATCTTTGCCTGCTGTTTTTCAACATATCTACCTTGTCGTACATTATGAACATCAGAGCATGTGAAAATATATTTGATATACCCAAACCCTCACTTCCTTCCTTTTTCTCCTGCCTCTCCTTCCAGAAGGAGCCATATCATACTATGTTAATATTCCAGTATAATAGTAAATAATTTCATTGCAGTGGTTGATGAAAGCGAGATTGAGATTTTTTTACCTAAGGAGGGTTTTCTGAAATGTCTTTTCTGTTAGCAGTAGTGTCTCCAACTTACTTTAACTATTCTAAGGTGCTCAACCTATTCATTGCCTTGCTGCTGAGTTCGTTCAGTACTGAATCCTCAATGGGACAAGAGGAAACTGGACAAATGACTAAATGTCAGATTGCCATTGCACGGATTCACAAGGGCCTGCAGTCTGTGAAAGACAGAATTTTGGATCATTGTGGCAAAATAATGAAACGAAGCCTCAAAACAACAGCCAAAGAGAAGACTTTACTGAAAATTTCTGCCAAAGACGTAGGGGAAAATAACTATGCCATGACAGATGTCAGAAAAGATACAGACAACAATTGTTTTGACATTGGGTATTACAACACTGAAGAGAATTCCTCAATAATGAGGAAATATGAAGAATTTTTAACCAGTCGTAGTACCTGTATTCCCATTGCAGTAGCCGAGACTTACAGCGATGAAGTTGATGATGAGCACAGCGTATGCACAAAAATAGAACACAGAAAACAGGTAAGGAATATTAATATTTGAAAAATTATTGTAACTTGCATCTGTAAATATAATCTCAAAGACTCAACAGTAAATGTTATCCCTTCTGTCATTTCTGCCATTTTACTTACTTTCTTCTTCTAGTAGCTTCAAAATGCAAGAGCTACCAAATAGTCTTAGTTATTCAATAAGATGTTGAATATCTGCTTTTTCATCGTTCTCCTCATTGATAGCCATAATTCTGCTTCTGTACGTTTTGTTTCCATTTATGGCTGTCAATTGGTAAATGAAGTTTGATCAAGACAGACATTCTTTCTTTTTGTCTCCTTTGCCTTACAGATGGCACCTGGAATTTTTGGAAGGCAGGCCTCTTGTGTTGCTTATATGTTGCTTCTCAGTTGCATGGAATCCAAAGGGAATGCAAATAAAAGCTTCATCTTAAAAAAAAAATTCTTTATGTTTTTTTAATCCCCTATTCACCTCTATGATACTTTGGACTCTCCTTTATGTCTCTTGATTTTGTTGTGTTGGGCAGGATTAAGCTCAAGTCTTTCTGCATGTGAGTGAGGCATTTATACTGCCATGATAGTCAATAAGGGTACAATTCATTTGTCCATACATAAGCATCTAGGGGTATTTGAGATACTTCAGGTGTCTGTTGCATCCACATGGGACTAACAAATAAGACACAGGAGCTATAAGAACTCTTTTTGGCATCTGGAGGCCAGGGGTATGTAGAAACACCTCCGATGATGCTAGGTATCAGCCACAATTAGATTACTCCATTTAGATACCTGAATCTCAAGATTCCACGTACTACTCACCTCACAGATGTCAAGTGCCATTTGAGGTGCTGGATTATCTCATACACCTTGAAAAAGGTGTCTGTCAGTTCCTGTAGATCCTGTGCTGTATTTAACTATGCCACATGTGTGTCGTAGGTACGCCCCAGGTATCTTAAAAGACACTAAGCAATTTAGGGCAAGCAACTGAATTAACCCTTTGTGTCCTCACGGCATTCCATAGTGTCCCTTGCTGCATGTCCGTATTACGTGTATGTTGCCCACTTTCGCACTTCATGGTTTCTCCCATTTTGCTTTCTTGATATTTTTCCCTTATTTTTGCTTTCTTTTTTTCTCTCCAATGATGTGCTATACTTTTAATAAAATAGAATTTTACCCCATTACTTTCCTTTGAGGAGGGTGATATGTCTTAATGAAATTCTTTGTGACAGCATTGCTACTTTTATTATATGTGATGTCATTGCTTAGAAAGGATATGAATGCTGGTTTGAGTATGATGATCTATCTGCATGAATGCAGTTTAGTTCAGAATCATTGGGTCATCCTCTGAGATTTTTATTCCCATATAAATATTTTTGCCTATAGAAGGTAAGAGTGATACCTTTTAGCCCATTGACAGTACTGCAGCTGTGTATGAAACATCCAGCAGTAGTTTCAGCTCAGCCCAGCGCACAAGGACCTCAAGTTAATTTCTTTTAGAAGCCTGCCTTATTCACAGGCAGTAGTAATAAGAAGCAGCAGACTCCAATATACCTTCCCTGCAATCTTTTGTCAGAGGGTGAACAAAAAAAATAACAGCCCTGTTCAGACCTGTACTAGAGGAAGTACCAATAGAAGCTGGCTTATACAACAGACGAATGAGCTGGTTTGCAGGTTCTTCATATAAAGCAAGATAGAAAGCCTGTTACAGAAAGTAGCTTGTGATTTTCATTTACGTCTTTTTATTCATTTCTGCTTATTTCTCCAGCTACCACATTCAAGTAAGAATGAGCTTTTCTAAGATGTTGCAACTGTGCTTTTTTTCTTCACAGATAAAAGTGATGGTGTAAACGTGTGGCAATATGGGGTTTAGCTCATCTAAAAAACACATCCAAATGTGTGAGCAGCAAGCTCAGGTGGAACAGCAGGCTTTGATGACTACATTGTACCTAGATTAGCTTGTTAAAGATTGTATTTTAGGAGTGTCAGTTGTGTTATGATTATGATATCACCATATTTTAAATCTATCAGAACAGGTATTTGGGCTCAAAGTGCATTTACTTAGTATTATGCCATGGCAAAAATGTCAAAAGCAGATGCTATTTTTGGATGGATTATCATATGCTTGGTGTCTAGGTGGACTGGTAGAACCCATTTTCTATGTTTTTGGTCATAAGAGGAGGCATTGTCAGTGGAATATCTTTGGACAAGTTCTCAAAGAAGCAGAAATTGCTGATCACCTTAGAATCATCTGTGGCTATTTAAAATATGTTGTCCATAGGCATTTGATGACACGAATTCTTTCCCTGCTGCAGTGGAATCTGGTATTGCTTGGAATTTGTAGTGGCAAAAGGGCTGAGAGCTGATTGGGATCACTTAGCTCTTCTGCCTGTAACTAGAAACATGAGACTGTTGGGGTCCAGCTGCAAAGGTTGAGCCAGTTCATCAGAACTTAGTGAATTGAATGCAGGAATCCATCAGTGGGCTAAATGTAGATCTGGAGGGATGATACATTTCCACAGTATAACCACAGGACCACAGTATTTTAAATGGAGGAAGAAATCATTCTTTTACATGCCTTTTAGCGATATCATTTAATTATCTGTAAAACGGCAAACATGCTAAATTTTGTGGATGCTTTAGATTCTGTTAAAGAATTTTGACTTTTAAGAATGACCGTCAGGAAGAAAAATGTGGAAAATCAACTGGTTTGCATTATTTCATGCAGGGAGACAGATTAAGACATAGAGAGCAGTGCCAGAGTTCAAGCGGCTTCAGTCAGATTTCTGGGACTTCTGAAACTACAAGCGTTTTTTCAGAAACACACCAAAAGAAAGAGCAAAAAGAGGTGATTATAACTTTTTTCATCTTGTGGAATATGCTGTAGATGAAAATTGTCACAGCAGTTCTCTCATTCAGCAATGACAGGACAAGCTGGGGTTTTCTGAAAAGTAGCAAGTATAATCCCTGTGAAGATGGTGCATCTCTCTGGAGGTAATAATAGTTTGAAGCATGGAGGTTTGTCTTTCATAAACAGCCATGGCTAACAGTGTAACTTAATATATTATTTTGTACAAAATAAGAAAACAGAAATTAATCAAGAAACACACTTACTTTAAACATATCTGATGCATACTATTAATTTTTATAGATAATTCTGTTTGCTGTCATCCTTGGGTGCAAAAATTTTTTCTCTAGAAACAGTTCCCAAAACAACCATACTTTTTCTGGTCTAGAAACTTAGTTTATTCTAATACAGTATAGTTCCACATCAAAAAAGGTGAAGAATCATGGCCTGCCTCCAATGACACAGAAAATTAAATGGAAGTTCAGCAACTTTCTGGGTTACTACCTCCAAAAGTCAAACCACTTTAGCATTTTCTGGTTTTAGATAAAGTTGCCAGAAATTTTGTTTGTTATACATTATTTGATTATATAAAAAAATTAATATTAAAAATATTAAAATGCTTGTGAATTTAAATAATTGCATTTTTGTCTATGTTGAAGATTCCCTAGGACCCTAAGTTAGTGTAGAGCAGCATGGCTGTCAACAGAGGCAGTTCTCCCTTCCTCTGGTTTCTCATTCTTATCCCTATCCTCATGCCTTCCCTTTCCATGTCATACAGGGCACTTACACTTTATGGCTGATAGATTGCTTTACTCCTTTTTCTTTATACTTGTTTTCCTTATTGTCTGTAGTTTTATAGGTGTGTAGTTTACCTACCAATAACTATAATTCTTTGAGATGCATAGACCATATGTACATTTCTTTTCTGCTAGGCCTTCTCATCTTCAAGCCTTTTGAGACATGGTTTGTATCTCTGAAAATGGAAAGAGGATTGGATTGGCATGAAGAAATCAGAGTTTTCTCTAAAGTTGTAGCATAATATAATCTCCTCTAAACAATTTCCTTCCTGCAAGTCCAATGTAGACGACTAGAAGAAACCAAGAAACTTACTAAATTAAAGCCATGGAAACAGAGAGTAGGGATTAGCCTTTTCTGTCCTATCATTTGTAATTTTATTTTGTAGTTCAGAAACATTAAGATAGTTTGTATGCTGCAGGTTTGTTTTTTTTTGAGGGGAGGGGTGATAAGTTTCATTTGTTTTCAATCTGGTAACCTTATTAATGAAAAGCAAATAAATTCTCTTCTTTGCCCTTTTCCTGTGCAGAAATGTGATGCTGGTAGCTATTCTGAAGCCAGCACTGTGGATCCAGTTATTCTTCTGGAGATGTTTTCCCAGCCTAAAAAGTCACACCTACCTAAGGACTGTTTTGCAGAAAGTAAGAATCTTTTATGTATTGTGGTGACACCAAATGAACCAGTATTCAAAGATACCTGTTTGGAACATTTCCAAATGGGCAGAAAGTGTTTGCCTGAGACACTTGTTTATGAACATAAAAACTCAAATAAATATATGCAGCCAGCACAGAACTGAAGCAGGGTTGGGCTGCTTGAACACAGGCATTTAGTACCAAATGAGATGCCTGAGACTATGCAAGACAACTGCATGAAGCTGGCAGAACTGTCACAGAAGCTGTAGAATATCCGAAAAGGCCTAAAGAGGTTCAAAACACCTGTGTTTAGGTAGCAAAATGCCATCTTTGGAGTGTGATTCAGTCTCATATTGAGGCATCAGACTGTAGGTATCTGTATATGAACAAAGGCACTCAAAGCACTTCTGAAGGGGCAGCTGGAGGTCAGTTGGGATATGTATGTTCGTACCTGGTATCCTAAATGGCACTTCAACTGAACTTGTCTGAGCTCCCAGTACAGTGGATGAATATCCGGTCAATACAGCTACTGGAATCCAGAGGACTGTACAGCTCATCCCAATGTGGACACCTCCTTTTGATTGCCTGAACGGCTCCTTAGACTCCATTGACTCTTATGGTTCAATCCTACTGCCTTTACAGATTAATGAAGTGTGTTTCTGGTGCAAAACAATGAACAGAGAATCTAGTTGTAACATCTCTGCAGTGCAATCAAGTGAAACAATCAGTAAAAATAATAATTTA